TTTGACGTTTTTCATCTGAAGTTCGATAACGTCACACTGTTTTCTTCTTTTTCATTTACCTTTTCAGTTATGTTCATGTTGTGTTTTTCTCAACTCAGTTGTTTTCATCATACTTTTGCCGATTGCGAATCTTGACTTTGACAGTTCGAATCACACGTTTTTGAATTTTGAAGAGTATATTTAAGCTCAAACTCAAACCAATCTATCTCCTTCTTACGATGCCTTCGTTGCGTGAACTTAGCAATACTTTGGAACAGTGGTCCCTTCGGAAACGTCTCACCGATCGCTCCAGATCGCCAGTTCGGGAACCCTATATTTGTGATGGTCAGACACGTTCGAGTATCAAGAACGCTTCAGTTGAGTCTCGTTTCGAAAATGAAAGTGAACGATCCAGATCGCAAGTCCGGGAGCCCTATAGTTATGATGGTCAGACACGCTCGAGTATCAAGAACGTTTTGATCGAGCCACTTTCTGAAAATGCAAGTTCTACATCACATCGACGTCAAGATCGGTCTTTCACTGCAGCTGATGGTTCATCTGTTCAGTCCTCGTTCCCTTCAACCGATCGTTTTCAGAAGAGTCGCTCTCCAACGGGAACGCAGTCCGGACCCTTATTCTGTCCCAAGGAGACCATTTGATTTACAGTGAACCTTTCCCATATGTTGTACAAGAATTTCTAGGACATGTATATATTGCAAACTGATACTGCGATGAAAAACAGCGTTCACCAGCAGCTGCCTCCCCTGCCGGGGGGGCCATTGTGTGTGTGAAATCCGCTATCACTCATGCGGACCTGAGTTTCTGTTAACAAGTTGATTCAAACAATCCATCAGATGCAGGGGCGTGCAGCACCTTTGGCATACTGCACGCAACGAAGCTATTGCCATTGGTGGGAAGGGGAGACTGATCACCTCCCTGTACCTGCAGAAGTTGGTTTTGAACTGTTGAACAAGCTGTCCATTTTCATGCGTATATGTTGCTAATTTGAGATTATCTCAGAAATCAGAGTTTCCCACTGCTTTCCCTACTCGACTGACCAGGATTTTGGACCTAGGAACCCTCAAGGCATGAACTACTTCATCACTATAAAGTTCCTCATTCGAGTAATGTTACTCAGTAACATGCTCCCATCAGCAGTGTGTGCCTGCTGTGTCTTTTTTTTCCCCACCTGCCAGGTGAGGGTTGTTAGATTTTATCAGAGTTGTTCTCCTCCTCCTCCTTCTTCTCCTTCTCCTCCTCCTCCACCGCCTCTGCCTTCACTTCCATCTCCACTTCCGCCTTGCCAACTCTTCGCCAAGCTCTTCGCCAACTTCCGCACGCAGTGGCCACTGCTGGACCTCAACTGCAAGGGTCTGAGCGCACTGGGCACCGCTGGACCTCAACCTGGGACCTTCCGAGCTCAGTGAGCACGGCTGGACCTCAACCTGGGACCGTCCGAGCTCAGTGAGCACCGCTGGACTGCTGGACCTCAACCTGGGAGCCTCTGGGACCCTCCGAGCTCAGTGAGCACCGCTGGCCCTCAACGGCCAGATAGAATGCCAAAAGATATGCCAGATAGAACGCCAGATAGAATGTCAGAAAGAATGCCAGAAGATATGCCAGATAAAGTGCCGGAATGTTTGCCAGATAGAATGCCAGAAGATATGCCAGATAGAATGTCAGATAGAATGCCAGGAGATATGCCAGATAAAATGCCATGAGATATGCCAGACAAAGTGACAGAATGTTTGCCAGATAGAACGCCAGAAGATTTGCCAGATAGAATGCCAGATAGAATGTCAGAAGATATGCCAGAAGATATGCCAGATAGAGTGCCAGAACATATGCCAGAAGATATGCCAGGTAGAATGCCAGAAATATGCCAGATAGAATGCCAGAAGATATGCCAATAAAATGCCAGAAGATATGCCAGATAGAATGCCAGAATATGCAGATAGAATGCCAGAAGGTATGCCAGATAAAGTGCCAGAATGTTTGCCAGAACATATGCCAGAAGATTTGCCAGATAGAATGCCAGATAGAATGTCAGAAGATATGCCAGAAGATATGCCAGATAGTGTGCCAGAAGATATGCCAGAACATATTGCAGAAGATATGCCAGGTAGAATGCCAGAAGATATGCCAGATAGAATGCCAGAAGATATGCCAGATAAAATGCCAGAAGATATGTCAGATAGAATGCCAGAAGATTTGCCAGTAACAAAACGTATAGATGTCATGGTGGGGATAACTCGAAGTAAAGTAATTAACTTTTATTTGCATCTAGATATACATAATATACGCACAAGGTCTTTTGTCCTTCAACCCTTATAGTAACGAACACACTGCCAAAGGAACTACTCCGTGTCTGGATTTTCCAGGCATGTCTTGTCAGCCGTCCATGATGCCAAGACGCTGGTCTTTGAGCCTCTCAATCCGGACCTCGTGGTGGCTAGCCACGGCCATGAAAAAAAAACGCGAGACAAACATGAATCGAAGAAAAGTGGAGGCACTGTGTGTCACTTCTTGCCAAGTCTTGCCAAAACTAGTTACTAGTCCTGGATTGTTCTTTAGATTTGTGGTTCGCAGGAATCACAGTGTTTGGCAACCATAGTGATTCCAAAACTGAGTTTTCTTGGACTCCCCTTAGTAACCATCAATTCTGGTGTGATCTTGGTGAGGTCGCCAAGAGCATCCAAGAGCACTGAGCTTAGGGCTTCGTTGGTCGAATCGCGGTCCAGCATTGCTGCCTTAGCTGTGGGCCAAAACTGGCATAGCCTTGCAGCAAATTTTCTCAATTCCTCAAGAAAAACCATGCTGAAGCCCTGCAGTACAGTTTTGCCTTGTTCTGCTCGCGCTTCTTGCACGAAACAGGAGCACTGTGAGTGACACTTGCGGCTTGCGAAAGTCAGGATTAACCAAAATGAAGAATCAGCAAACACCAAGTGATGCTTGTGAAGTCTGAAACATCCATTTCCAATTTGCAAATAACTACTTACTAAGTGGTCAGCTGCTCTCAGGACAAGCAGGTTTTTCCATGTATATATATATATAGATATATAGGTAAGATCCTACGTGGCCAGTGGCCCGCGAGTTTTCCCATCAGAGCCAGTCCAAGTCGGAAAGCTGCCTGACCTGTGATGGCTGCACATGTGCATCATTGAGGAGCTAAATCAGATTCAACCAGTCCGCCGTTAATGGATTTCTTGCTGTACCCTGAAACCCCTGAACCCCTAAATTCGCGTTTCCCCCTATTTTTCAGGAACTTTAGTATATCACCTGCACAGTGTCTCCAAACAAACAAATAAAGCTACTAAAATCTATATTTTGTCATCCGTTTGAAGAAGCTGCACAGTTTTTGTTTTCCATGTCCATGGCTGCATGGCCAGTCGACGGGTCTACACTGGATACTATGCATCATTTCACCCCTTTCTTATTTTCAGGCGTTGAAAGAAATCTAAATGGTAACTGTAAGTATTAGTCCCAGTCTTGTATTTGAAGCTTTGTACCATACTCAACATGGATCTATCTATATGATAATATAATATAAATATAAATATATATATATATAAATCATATACACATATATATATACACACACATATTTTTTTCACTTACAACCATTTCATCAGCATAGTGCTGCCGAAATTACACCGCGCCTTCTCAGCATGCGAACCCTCCACAACCAAAGCGCCTTTTCTGCGGGAGACCTGCAGCCAGAGACATGCCAGCCCCTTAGATCATCTTAGATCCAAAAGACACATATATAAATGTGTATATGCGTTTATCTGATCATAGGATACGTCGAAATCCGTTACTCATCATTCTCAGTTCCCCAGCGATGGTTCCTGGTCCCCCCGTCACCCAGTTGGCACCCCGTCGGCACCTTCAAAGGCCCTGCGGCCCGCGGGGTATCCAGCTGCATCATGGAGACGTGACGGAGGAACTGGCGGAGCGAAGATGACTCCAACGTGACGGGAAGAATACATTGGAATGCAAGCAAAACCACTGGGAATAAAATGGGATACAATGGGATACAATGGGATATGTATATTATATACAATATTATGTATATATATATATATATGTACATATTATATTATTATATCATGGGATGGGATATCGTGGGACACCATGGGATATCATGGAATACAACAAGCATCTAATGGCATGTCATGGCATGTGATGGGATGTAGTGATACAGTGCGATATATGTATATATATATATATAAGTATATATATAATATAAGTATATATATATATATATATGTGCCATTTATAGAATCAACAATACAATAATACAATATGGGTCTGGACACAAGAATGAAGATTTACGCCCAATTTATGATTATTTAATCATGGAAAATGATGGTTTTGGGCACGCTATCTTGGAACTGGTCCATGTATTATTCATATATATATATAGATATAATAAGACAACTGCCATATCCTATCTTAAGAGTTGATCAACTTTTGAACATTCAGACCACTGTTGACATCCTGGCTTTTAGTGCCAACCTCCAATCAACAAAGCCTGGAATACTTGCTGATCTTGCTGTTGACAGCATTCTACTCCTCAAAACTATATAGCCATTTCAGTGAATATGCTACAAACGTGTCCAAGTATTTCCAAATACAAATCCGGAGCACCACATCAATCCTCCAACCCCCTCAACATAATCACTAATCACCTTCATTTTTTTGTCCAAAGCCCACGCGAAAATCTGTTCCATTCACGGGTCGACATACCAGACGCCAGACGCTTTGATGGCCTGGTGATGTTGCGCCACTGTGGCGCAGCATTTTCGTGGCGCAGCACAGCAAAAGGGCGGGGACTTCATCTACTCAACCATGAATTTATGGTCGCAGTGATGAAACATCTGCATCCAAGCTTGGATTGGTAGCAGAGTTGTAACGTGGTGAATCCAATGTTATTGGGGATGGAACATCGAAGATATTTGAATCACCAAGCAGGTCTGCTATTTTCCTATCATGCCTGGTTTCAGGTTCATATCTTGGCTTCCTTATCCACTTTCAAACATGAATTCTTTCATCACTGTACTTTCTTCGGCAGGGCGGTCATGGCTCTTAAGGCCTCTTCTCTCTGTGCCTTGGTGCAGCCGGCGCTGGAAAAAACGCTGGGATCCAAATGGACCTCAATCCCTCCATCGGCCGGCAGAAAGATGGTCGGCCCCGCATTGGTGATGACCGATTGGCAGCGGCCAGAGCCAAAGTCCGGCAGGGCGCGTTTGGAGGAATTGTTGACAGCAAACCTCGGCTGGGCGATTTGGCTCAATTTTGCTGGGTGAAAGAAAACAACGTCAAAATCTTCCCAGTTGTTTGTAAATTGGTGGATTTAAAGAACGGGGACGATCGAAAAGAAAAGCACATAACGGTCTCTGCAAATCCAAGAACTTGAGGTCGATGTTCTTCATCTTGTGGATCTTTCGCATGATATCATTCCTCAATGGAATTGACCAACTGGTGAAATTCACAACTTGGCCCATGTGGATCATTCATCTCCGACCATAAGTCTCAATTGTTGGGACATTCCCAACTGTACAGTTGGTTACTATACATTCATTCTAGGCGCCTTAATCGCCAAATATTGCCAAGCATCACAGTCTCATTTCTCCACTTCCGCTCTTTTAGGCACGGTTCCAACATGTTTTACAGGAACTCCCTATATTGCAGGTCCTTCGCTACAATTCCCTGAAATCTTCTGTTAAATCACCCCCTAGTTCTCACTGGAAATCTCTAAATTTTGCTGGGAACCATAAACAACATGCTTCCTCTTTCCTGCACATCATCCGGACCCCAGACTAGTCCCTGTACTCGCATGGTGAACGACACCCCATTTTATCCTATTATCTGTTTCATTTTTTACACCATCTTACATCTCAATTCCAAATCCCTATGATCGATTGCTAGTTAAATCCATATCTACTGCCAGTTGAAGCCCCATTTGATTGCTGGTTCAATCGTCACTTACAACACCCAAAGAATAAGATTGGTTGCCAGTGGTTACTCCCAAAACAGTGGGAATTTACTATTTCTGGCTAATTTCCAATTTATTGCTGGTGAATTTCCCAATATTTTAAGATGTTTATATAATGGTGTGTTGTTCAAATCTCCAAACTTTGAAGCGGGTGTATCTGAAAATATTGTTCCCCCAATTTCAATGTATATACTGTATTAACATATGTCATCAATTTCCCTATGTTTTCTGAAGGTTCTTTAACTTCTTTGGGGTATCCCTCATTTTTAAGACCCATTCCAACGGTCAACAGAAAACCAAGGTACTCCACTCCGCGGTGACAGGCTCCAGTGATGGTCCTCCACAGCTCCTTCTGCGACTCTAAGGAGCCTTCCTTCACAGATAGCGCTTGGTGCAGGTGGCTGGCCAAGCCTGGTAGATCCATACCTTGGCCACTTGGAGGTTGTTTTTGTTTGTGGTTTGCCAAAGTTTGCCAATGTGTTCCAGGCAAAGTTGTATCGTTGTAACAATGCAATGTTCACTCGCAAGTCACTTGGGTGGTACCTTTCCAAGGAAAATCACGAATTGAATTGGGTTTTCCAAGGCAAGAACTAGAGGAAACAACGATTTGCGTACTGTTTTTTTTAACCTAAGAATGATGTAGCCTCTGTAACTTTTCCCTCAAACCAAGTTGGGTGAACAAAACAGATACTCCATGGATCAGGAACATCTAGCGAGTTTACAAACCCAAAATGCTACAAACTGACCATCCAAAGAGTTCAGTACAATCAGTACAGTAAAACCCATATGGTGCTACAAACTGACCATCCAAAGAGTTCAGTACAGTATACTATCAGTATACACAAATATACACAAATTGAATCAGATTTCATCAGCTGAACCATGGATACCATGGGGAAATGCACAATAAAAAGACCCAAGTGACTCAAGACCTGCTGGGTCGGGATCGATATACTGGTGAAGGTCAGGCCGTTGCCCATGATCTGATTGGAAGGCCTGGGCTTCGGGGGTAGCAGGGGTAGCAGCATCAACCAATGGGGTGTCTAAACATCTGAAAAATATTGAAAAATATGAAAGTCAGTTGGGATTATGATTTCCAATATATGGAAAAATAACAAATGTATAAAAATGTTCCAAACCACCAACCAGGAATAAAATGGGAGTGACCCCAGAAGTTGGAATGTGAGTATCCCCACCCTGCAGCCGTACCCACCAGCAATGTTCGCCGTGTAATGACTGGACCCCAACGAACTTGGACGACCCACTGTTACATGGCACCTGTCCAGCACCAAACAACGTCCAAAAGAAGCTGGCTTTGCGGCTCAAAAGCTTTTGTTGGCTGATGTTTTACCATGCTTGAATACTTTTGGGTCAGAAAGACTTAAACAAAATAGAATCAGGTTCAATTCAAGGATCAAGCTCAAAGCCTTTCGCGCGTCCAGAAGAAACATCATCTGAACATCTCCTGCGCTGTCCTTCTTCAACAAAGGCCGGAATGCGAGCAACATATGCGCACAAAGGGCTTCCTGGGTGGTCCTTGGCATTTGCTCTGAATGTTGCACGCTACCACAAGAGTGATGTCCTGTTGCATAAACCAACAGAGTTGCTGCCAGATATCATCGCACATCGTCCGGATGCATCTTCAACACAGTCAGTTGTTTGGTCAGCGCATCTCAGCGCTATTGGTGGTTTCAGTCCATTCCACGCTTGAAACCACCAACCAGGTGAATATGTAACTTGGTTGCTTAGTCGATTGCATTTCCCCCTTTATTGAATCTTATACTACGGCATATCCTCACGTTTGTTCTTCGAAACATAAGAGCCATGGAAAATACCGCCATCCCATCCCGGTAGACTTATTGGTAAATTGGTATTATTATAATCACCCCACATAAACTACTCAGACTGCGTATGACTCTCTAAATCAACCAATCAACGGAGGTGTGGATACTAGTAGCATCTAGTCGCGAAATGGCTCGGATGAAGTTTTTTTCCAGGACTGCCCTGCAGCTTAGGGTCACCCAGTTGTCCATATTCGCTGGCACCTCTTTAGGTGTTGCCTCCTCTTTCAGGCGAGCTAAGTCATCATCCGAGAAGAAGAGGCGGTGCCTCCCGGGCAGCAACGGGTGCCATTTTTTAGGCTGCTATGGACCAGCAGGGTCCACGAACGTGTCATCCACAGGGGACGAGAAAGTTCCCATCTTTGGGGTTTGGTGCGTGATCTGGTAAATGTTTTTTTTCCCAAATTTGATGGTTTAAAACTAACAGTCTCATTTAGCATATTTTACCAAGCAAAATGGCTATGTCATGGGTCGGTATACCCCATCTTCAGAGAAACCCGTCTGCATTTGTGGTCACACGAGCCTTGTAGGCTCCCTTAAGTCAGGCTTTTGGGCGCTCAGTGAATCCTACCATGAATTATTGAGACTTCTCCCGTCCTGTTCTGTTGGGGAATGTTGGTGCGAAGTATCCCACTTACAGACTGCACAGCAAGTCATTAGTTGCTATTCCCACTATCCCATAGGATCCATGTATGGTATATATGCTAACATTTTTGGGGTATATTGATGGTAAATGTTACCATATACAGCATACATGGATCCTATGGGTATTCCAACATATTACCATTATTACCAACATTTAGTTGGCTTCACTGATTTTGTTTCCAAAAAACTGGAGACACACGGGCCTGGTGAGGGACCAACCACCATGCAGGAAAAAGGTATCCATGATGGCGCCCACCAGCGGGATGACAATGCGCTTCAGAACTTTGGAGAAAATGGAAGCCTTGGGGCTGACGCCATACTTCTTCATGGCCAGCTCCTGGAATTCGCCGTCACCTGCCATAGGTATCCATAGGTTATAAATGGTAAGATCTTATAGAAGTCATCCCAAAAATTGCAGTGGAACTGCCAAAACAGATCCAAATTCGGAAAGGTCAAGATGAAATTCGACACTTGTCCTCAGTGCCGTCGGTTTGTTTCGTGTATTTTGCCGATTCTGTCCACCTGGGAGGAGCCTCTGCATATAATCTTGCTGGTAGGCAGGGGCTTTCACCGAGTCTCCCTTGGCCAAGCTGGCCCAAATACCAAGAAAAGTCCAGGCAGAACCCCCATCAAAGAGCATATGCGATCGAGAGAACGCCAGCACCCCACCTTAAGACAGTTGCAAATCTGAAGGCAATGCTTGGGATACACGTATGCTTGGACATGTGGCTTACATTCCATGGAAGTACTTGTTTGTTGGATATCAACTGTACATTTAGTATGTCTACAATCTACCCTCCAGTAAATTAACATAGACCCTGGCAGATAGGGGTTGGGTTAGTTTCCACTAAAAAATATGATATTTTATGTTATTTGCAGGGCCTACGTCAATTTACCAGAGGGTATGATTTAAAATTTAGTCATGTTTCATGAAGGTGGATGAAAACTAATGCCAGGATTCAGCCAAGTCTCATAGAACTTTGAACATATCCGGCGACAGGAATACAAGCCCAAAAATGAAGCACCGTGCGGAATAATCACTAAGCTTTCCTTTTCACAAGAATGCACCAAGTACATCCAAGTACAAGATAGTACAAGATAGTACAAGTACGTTGGATTTGGGATAGTCACTTCTAATTTTGCATTACAGCCCCATTTTTCCACATCTTCGGAAATCTCCAACAAGTACTGTTCCGCGACTCGGCTCAAAGATCTCAAAGGATGGATCCAAGAACTTGGATGGTTCAACCATGGCAGGTTTAACACTTTAACACAAAATCCGGACAATGTGATAAGCCAGTAAAACATGACGAAATTTCTATGTGAATTTTGGTACCCCATTTCCTATCTCTTGAACCATAGCCACTTCCATCCTTATAGATGGTCAGCTTGATGGCTGCCGCTGCGCAGAGTCCCTGGCGAACACTCCAGGGCCGATGGAAGGTCGCAAGGTCCAGAAGCCTCTTCTCCTGGTTCCACCCGGCGCAACCGTGTTGGTTGCACATGTTGCTTGGCAACGCCGAAACAGACGGATATGACAATTGCAGTGACCCACACAAATTGTTGGATGTTCATCAACAACATTTTTTGGGTCGTCCATTTTTGAAACCTCTGCTTGATAAACCAACGATCGACTGGTTGAAGGTGAAACGAACCCCTCCCCAAAATATCAGTCTACACAGGCATTTGGCAAGCAAAATAATATTTGAACGTCACTGTATACCAACCAGGATAGTGATGGTCTGAGTTGTCTCGTCGTTCGTTGTTGTTGGTTGGCCATAACATTCCATAGTATCTTGATGGAATTCCCATTAAATATCATCACCGTGAGATAATGTGAGATACCACGGGGGTACCAGTTCCAAAAACCGACCAGTGGGTCATGGTGAGGGAACAACACAGGTATCAATAATGACCGTTCTACTACTGGCAATCCTACAGATTTCGTCCTCGATACGCACCGGTGCACTTTCTTCTGAGGATTTCACCACTGTGAAAGGCACACCTCCGGGGCTCAAGGAAGTGGCTCGAAACAGGCCTCGAAACAACTGAATACCAATATACCAATAGGTCATAAGAAGTCTAAGTATGGTCGCATTGAAGTCGCATTTGTGGCACACCAGTTAACAGTTATCAGCAGCTAGCTGGTGAAAGCACTCCAATAGTGACCACCTTGCATTGCATGTGCCTCAAACTCTTCATGTCTAGCCTGCTGGAGACATAAACTGACACAAGTCAAAGTACGCGTAGCTCCCAAAGGTACATCGTTGTTCTGAAAGTCTCGCTTAAACATCTTTGCAATTCTTCGCGCATAAACATAGAACTAAGATGAACTAAGACTCCTACACTTCAAATGGAGTCCGATCCGAAAACACCACCAAAACAGTAAGTCCATTCAACCAGCCAGGTCATAATTCACTAACTTGAAAGTTGGGCTATATTGAATCACCATGGGTTTCAATACTAAGTCACGGTCTAATTTAATGATTCTAATGGCTTGGATGATTTGGGGTACTACTGGGGATCCCCCAGTTATCCCCAACCATTAGGAAACCTCCGTCTTGGGAGAATTTCCCGTATACCACCATTCTGGGTCAATTTTCCCACAATTCACTGATCATTATCCATCATATCCAGTTCATATCCCAATGGATATTTCCATGAGTTGTGTTCATTTCCCTTACAAACTAACCATCTAACACCACCATCGGATCCACCATCTAACCATCATGGACTAAACTGCCCCACCTGCGCCGTTCAGCTGGATGATCTCGCCGTCCTCCTTGTAGCGACCGGCCGCCTTGGGCACCAAATCCAGGGCTTTGGACCTCGATCGCCGGTGAAGCCAACGAATGGTGAAGCCATGGGGAAAATGATGGGAAGAATGATGGGACAATGATAGAACATCAGGAGAAATGATGGTATTTATGGGTGAATTCATCAGATTAATCAGCAAAAATGATGGTTTTATGATATTTAACCGTCAAAAATGATGAACAAAGCTGGTTCAACCATCAAAAACGATGATTTATCACCAATTTTATGAGATATTGTCAAGGGGACATATTTCACGAAATGGATACTATGACATCGGGTGTGTCTGCAAATTGGGTACTCCACACAAATGACAGTTGCATAGGAAACATTATGACAAACAAGTGGATAAAATGGGTTACCCTATTTTCATAAAGTAATGCGTGTAGTTTCATAGCTTTCCGCATACTTTTTTGTTCCCATGCAAATGGCAACTCAGCCCCAGATTATATATATATATACATAATATGGGTTTGTCCAAGACTTAGTACCCCTGTACATCTGGTTGAAAACCTGAAGCGTTGGGATATCCAGGTATTCCTGTTTTTTGGACGACCCCTGGTGACAAGGTGAATCAGTTGAGTGAAGCAAAGACTGGAGGATGAGCTACTGAGTCTTATACACATAAGGACAAACTATATAGACTGATATAGACATAGATTGACAAGCAACATCATAACCTGATTTCCTTTGGACGTGTGATCCAACAATATCCAACACACAAACGAATCCACAACCAGCCTCTGCCTCCATGAATCAATTCCTTCCATTCCTCATCACCTTCCCACTGCGCCCCGGGACAAGGACTGCTTCAAGCGCTTCTCGTCACATTTTGGCAGGCGCAAGGCGATAGCTGGATAGGTGGCAAAGCACAGGGGCATCATCCCGAACATCTGCTCTCCCTGCAATGAACGGCAACCGCATCCCCTGCTTGAATGGTGGGGGTCGTGATGTCTGCATGAGTCAGCATTTGGAAAACGTCAAAGCAATTGGGTTTGCTGAAAAAAACTGGATCCACTCCTTTTGGCGAAGGTTGACGCATAGCAATATCACTGAAATCCTCGATCCTTCTTGTTTTTTAACATCTGAGCTGTGGTTGGTTTTGTCAACTGCAAAACACAGAGAATCCTGGATGATATCAGGCAGGAAGGTTACGAACCAGCTTCTAGGTAGCGTCTCTTTGCCAAAAAACACCTTGCGATACATTTGTCCACCGTGGGGTTGTATGATGTCGTATGGATCTAAGACGAACAAACTAACAACTAAGTCTAACAAATACCGGTAGTCTGATGTAGTGTTCACGAAGACTATTTTTCGTCCACTGGCGAGGAACAACAACGCCTTTTTCAAGACTTGTTTCATCTTCCAAACCTACTTGGTGGCTGGCTTTGGATTAGAGTACTTGTAAGTACTTGCAAGTACTGTTACAACCGGGTTATAAGCTATTGTAAATTCCGTAAGTCAGCTAAGTTTTTAAGTTTTTTTAGGGCACATACAAGCTACTTCTAGGAGTTGGTCACTTGTATGTTTTGTAACTATTTTTGTTAACTTTCTAGAACATATATAGTTTTCGAACTTATAACTAACTTAGCAAACTTAACTTTTTTGCATGTTCAAAAATTAGCAATTTTGTTTTTCTTTTATGTTTCGTTATTTTTGATTATTTTGTTAACAGGATGTGTTTGGAACGCATGTGACAAAATCAGTTGGAAAGTTATTTCTTGGCAAAGAATTGCTTTGAAACACTGCGGCTCATTGGGGCGCAGGTGCCAAACATCTTTTCTTGCTGCTATGCTGGGTAGAAATTACAATTTTGAGTTCAGAGAAACTGTGTCTGAAAAAAAAAACAGTTCAAAACTCACCCATGGAATGATGACAAATGCAAACATTTACTCAAAGGGAGGTTGAAAAAAGAGGGAACATGTAGAATGTGTAGGAATGTATCGGGATGTATCGGACAAAAAAATGGAGTTATACATGTATAACTCGAAAAACATGGAGTTATACATGTATAACTCGAAAAAAAATGAATTCTACATTCCTATACATTCCTACACATTACATATTTTTCGCAGGTTTTGGGATGTGTGGTTTTAAAAGTTAATGTTTTTTTTGGGCTGCTCATTGAGCCGCCGTGCTAGCATGTTCCCCACGTATGGTTATACTACAACCGCAGCGGCTCATTGAGCCGCTTTTATATGCTTTTATACAAATTAGGATCAGGAATAACTGTTCTGCAAGGTTGCCTTGCAGCATCATCAAATTCCTCTTTGCTGCGGCTCATGGAACCGCACACTAGCCAATTCAAGGTTTTATTAAAGAAACATGAATATTGTGTTTTCGACACTGTTTCAAAAATCAGCTCAAAACATAATTCTTACTCAAACAACAAAAACTTAGAGAACTTATAAGTTTTGCAAGTTCAACTTAGAGAATTTAGGTTTTAAATTAACAAATCATCTATTGCTAAGTTTTTCAAGTTAACTTATAAGTAGTGCAAGTGCTTAAAGTGCTACAACTTACTTATAATTTTCCTACTCCAAACCCAGCCACCAAGTAGTACACTAACCCAAACACTGCCCTCCAAATATGGTTGGAAAAGGCTTTACACCCAACTGTCATTTCTCCACAACTGCAAAAACGGCCTTTGGCACAATCATCTCTGTGGGACCATCATACAGTTTCATGCTTGGTCTGATGACTTCAGTGGATGACCGGCTCTGGCCGAAGAGCCACTGAAAGCATCCCATGGTCCGCAGGAGTCAGTTAGCGCAGTTGGCGGCTTGGCAAAAACGCGCCAAGTGGTTACCCTTTTTTGAGCCGAATCTTGCCTGAAATTCCGGTGAATGAAACTAAACCAAAAGGGTCAGTTCCTATCATCTTCGACTCTCTCCCTGACAGTCTGAATATCTTGTTCAAACTTCTGTTTCCTAGCTGGGATGGATCAAAATCTTCCAACCCCCAAGCTGATGAACTTCTAGGGTCCACTGGAAATCGGCCGCCTCACCGGAAATCGGCCGCTTGGCTGCGCGGGATTCCTGGGGGCTGATGCCATGGAGCCCCGGCCATCTTTAGACGCCTTGCATCTTTTCAATAGCCTGTATATATTATAAAATCACACGCATTAAATTATCCCACCATTTATACCAATAGTGCCGCACAAAGCGGTGGCGGAAGTTTCAAAAATAGGAAACCTGTAGGAGAGGTTCGTTGTTGTGAATCACGGATGGCAGAGCGAACCCGCTGATGGACCGAAAGGTGGTTGGAGTTGTGTTTTCTGGGGTGGTTGCCATGGTTGCAGTGGTCACCTGACCACAACTGCTGGATGTAGTGTGGTGTAGTTGTAGCTGTAGTGTAGTGTAGTGGAGTTGTAGCTGTGGTGTAATGTAATTAGTGTAGTGTGGCTGCAGTTGCAGCTGTGGTGTGGCGTAATTAGTGTAGTGTAGTGTGGGGTACTGTAATGCTGTGTACTGTAGTGTGGTATAGCGCCCTGTAGCCTAGCGTAGTGTAGTGTAGAGTATTGTAGTTGTAGTTGCAGTTATAGTTATATAGTTGTAGTTGTAGTGTAATTAGCGTAGTGTAATGCAGTGGTAGTTGTAGTTGTAGTTGCAAATGTAGTTGTAGCTGTAGCGTTATGTAATGTAATTAGTGTAGTGTAATGTTGTGCAATGTAGTGTAGTTGAGTTGCATTTGTAGTTGTAGTCGTAGTGTACTGCAGTGTCATTAGCGTAGTGTAGTTTAATGTAATGTAGTTGTAGTAGTAGTAGTAGTAGTACTAGTAGTACTAGTAGTACTAGTAGTACTAGTAGTACTAGTACTACTAGTACTACTAGTACTACTAGTACTATAGTAGTCGTCGTCGTCGTCGTCGTCGTGGTAGTGGTAGTGGTAGTTATAGTGGTAGTGGTAGTGGTAGTGGTAGTGGTAGTGGTAGTGGTAGTAGTAGTAGTAGTAGTAGTAGTTTCAGCAGTAGCAGTAGCAGTAGCAGTAGCAGTAGCAGTAGTAGTAGCAGTAGTAGTAGTAGTAGTAGGAGTAGTAGTAGTAGTAGTAGTAGCAGTAGTAGTAGTAGTAGTAGTAGGAGTAGTAGTAGTAGCAGCAGCAGTAGTAGCAGCAGTAGTAGTTGCAGTTGTAGTCGTTAGTAGTTTGTGGATAGTGGTTAGTGGTTAGTCGTTAGTAGTTTGCAGTTAGTAGTTAGTAATTAGAAGTGAGTGGTGAATAGTGAGTAGTGAGAAGTGAGTAGTTAGTAGCAGTAGTAGCAGTAGTAGCAGTAGTAGCAGTAGTAGCAGTAGTAGTAGTAACAGTAGTAGCAGTAGTAGCAGCAGTAGTGGTTGTTGTAGTAGTTGTTGTAGCTGTAGTTGTAGTTGTAGTTGTAGGTGTTGCTGTTGCTGTTGCTCTTGTTGTTGCTGTTGCTGTTGCTGCTGTTGCTGTTGCTGTTGTTGCTGTTGTTGCTGTTGTTGTTGTTGTTCCATATGGTGTTCTTTATGTTGTTCTTTATGTTGTTCTATTTGTTGTTCTATGTGTTGTTCTATATGTCGTTCTATATGTTGTTCTATTTGTTGTTCTATATGTTGTTCTATATGTTGTTCTATGTGTTGTTCTTTATGTTGTTCTATATGTTGTTCTACATGTTGTTGTATGTTGTTGTATATGTAGTTGTACAGGTAGTTGTATATGTAGTTGTATATCTAGTTGTATACCTAGTCTAGTTGTATATGTAGTTGTATATATAGCTGTACCTGTAGTTGTATATGTAGTTGTAGTTGTAGTTCTAGTAGTAGTAGTAGTAGTTGTTGTTGTTGTTGTAGTGTAATTAGTGTAATTAGTGTAATTAGTGTAATTAGTGTAATTAGTGTAATTAGTGTAGTTAGTGTAATTAGTGTAATTAGTGTAATTAGTGTAATTGTAATTAGTGTAATTAGTGTAATGTAGTGTAATTAGATGTAGCTAGTGTAGTGTAGTGCAGTGCAGTGTAGTGATGTGTAGTGTAGTGTAGTGCAATTCGTGTAGTGTAATTCGTGTAGTGTAATGTAGCGTAGTATATTTGCATTTGCATTTGTATATCTATCTATCTACCTATCTATCTACCTATCTGTCTGTCTGTCTAGCTGGAAGCATGAAAACGAAGCTATTCTGCGAGACTTCCTCAGCTTTTGAACTTGACAACATCAAAAAGCAGCAATTCCGCGAGACTTCTTCAATTTTTGAACTTGACAGCGTCAAAAATGAAGCAATTCTGCGAGACTTCCTCAATTTTCGAAGTTGGCAGTTGGCAACATGAAAAACGAAGCAATTCTACGAGACTTCCTTCAATAATGGAAAGTTGAGTGAAGAGCTGACGGCCTCGTGCCATTGCGTTTTGCGATTTTTCCAGTCCATGTCTCTAAAGTATTGCGCCTGCCACGAAAAAGTGATGCCAGGTCATACAAACTGCTGCACCTGTCACACAAAAGTCATCTCCCCAAAACTTAGGATCTGATGCTCCAAATGCAACCCCTCTCAGGAAATCAGCGCCCTGACCTCCTAACATCTCTGATGAACATGTCTCTTGTACTGCACCTGCCACGGAAAATGCATCTTTGCAGATCCTCTTCAAATGTCCCACGCCTGCTATCGTTTTTGGAAATGCTAGAAAACCCTCACGTTTTGCTCACTTTTGACAAGGTGCACAATCCCTTGCGCCGGCCACGCGAAACGACATCTGAACGTCCAAAAGTGCTCCGTGCCCGTCGGCTTTTTGCACTTTTGACTTGGAAATGTGCTTCGCGCCACAAGGGCGTGCACTTTTTGAACATGTAATCTTCCAAAAGTGCTCCGACGTTGGTGTGTTTTGTGCGTTTTTACTTCGAAATGTGCTTCGCGCCACACACAGCGTGCGCTTTTTCGACATCTCAACTTCTAAAAGTGGTCCGAACAAGGTGTACATTTTGACTTAGAAATGTGCTTCGGGCCACAACGGCGTGCAAGTTTTCATCTCTCATCTCCCCAGATGGCCCCGCACCCGCCGATACCCGCCGCTTTAGCGAGCCTACTCTTCGACCCTCCGCAGCCACAAATCATTGGAAAAACACAATGAATCGCGACTTTTCTACCTTTTCGCGCACCTGCATCTTCTTTCTTCTCACTCTTTCTCTTCTCTGATCTTTCCTCTTCTGCTCTTCTCCTCTCTGACTCTTCCCACCTCTAGCTTTTCCATCTGTCCATATTGTCGGAAGTTTGACTTCTAAACTTCCTTCGATTAACAAAATGCTAGCAGTACTGAACTACCCAAGCTTTCCCTGGTACATAATGAGGATCTAACATGGTGGATTTCAATGAGTTACCAGGAATGCAGAGGACCATCCCCAATGGAGATGGAACATATTGGGTTTACCACTAGAGATGACACAGTCTGTTTCTGGATAAAAGAAAATCTTTCTGTGGTCTCAGGATACTTCATCATGGACCAGAGGAAACTAAGCCTTGACTATATATACTCCATGGTCATTGAACGTCTTTTTCACTACATGGCAGGTAGATTACAGGATCCCATCCTCAGAAATTCTCCGAGCACCGGATCCACCGGCTGGTTCGGAACCCGCCTCTTCCATCAGCTGGAACCAATCAAACCAACCAGCTGCTTCCTGGGTCAAAATGCACGCATGGATTCAAGTGGAATGGCTCACAAAGCAGTTGCTTCATCCAGATTCTGTATGCTAAAAGCCAGCAGATTTCATGGCCAGTTTTGATGCTACATCTGGCTGTTTCTTTGGTGATCAAAAGCTGAGCGTTCTGCTGGCTATCAGTCAAATCATCGGGCATCAGCAAAATTGGATAATTGGTGGAATACGAAACAAACTATCAATCAATGATAATATGCTGTGCTGTAGTGGAATACCAAAATCAATGGTTACAACCAAATTAATGGTAATAATCAAATTCATTGGCATTTCTGATTGATGGTGGAATAGTTATATAATAATCATTGGTTATAAGGGTTGTACTATTCATTTGATTGGTGGATAACCAAAATCAATGGTTCCGCCCACCTTTTGAGGCTTCGATGTCGTACTAACTTCCATGGTTTCCTGCGGTCAATCTGAACGTTCAGTTTCAGAGCAGCAAAGAGTGCTGGAAATCGAAAAAAAGGGTAGGGATACATATGGTGTACATATTTACAACACAGAACATGTCGATGTCTAACTTGCAAAGCTGCTGTTCGACGTTGCTTCTTCTTTGTTGTACTTCCCGAATCTTCTGGTCTTCACTTGTCCGACAACATCATTTCCAAAAGGAAGTATTGTCAGTGCCATGGTATCACACATGTGCAACGATGACAAGATGCAAGCAACTCAAATGAGAGACTCAACATCACAAGTCCTGACCCACAGATTCCCGCAACCTAGCTAGTGAGCCACACATCAAAAACACTTGTCACTTGGGATCATCATTCCAAATATGGTGAGAAGTAAAACGTGTCTGGTCCAATCCACTTATCAATCATCATAGTCACAATGAAACTGCACATAGGGGACTGCCCCAGTTTCAGACAGAGCCAAATATCATATTCTTATTATGTTGTTGATTATATCCGATTACAAATCCCTCCATATGTATATATAGATTATACATAAATGTATAATATGTATGTATATATAATATACACAATGCTAATATATGCTAAATAAATCCCATCCTTCCTCCCCGCTCTGGTTGTCTAGCCTCATGTACAGATATTCCCCAGCCATGTCTCGAATTTTTCATACGTCGCGCCCGAGTCACCCAGGGCGTCCTCCTCCACCACTTGCTCTGCTGTGGTGGAAGTGGTTGCTGCAGATGCATTGCTT